AATTACTTAACCTGAATCATCAGTTTAAAATCCGTAGGAATTAAACCCACATTTTTCAATGACAGTTCTGTTAGGTACTTGTTTTGAGTCTGCTTACTGTATTACTGTTGCATTTGTTGTCATTTAATGGAAGCCTTAACTTCTATCAAATTAAAAAAAAGTTTCTTCTCCACATGTGTTTAACATAACTATACCAAGGCTAAACTTTCCTAATATAATTTCTGATCTTAAATAATATTTTAAAAAACCGTAACATGTAAATAAAACATTTTATTAGTTCAATGGTTTGAACTATTAAAATAAATTAAAATTAGATTTTATAACTTAATAAAATAATAATTTTACTTTTTAAATGCCTGAACATGAGGCATTTAAAAAGTAATATTTTTTAACCTTGCTATGCTTGAATAAATTTGACAAAAAAAGAAAAAACGAATTGAAAAAAATGAATGAATTATTGTTTTAATAAAACATGTCAAACTAGAAAAGCAAGTAATTACAATAAAAAATTTACAAAATAATATTTAATGAATATTATATTTTTTACATGTATTTTAATTTGCATGCCGACACTATAGGATATTCAGGTTGGCAGTTGTATGCCGTCCTAAAGCCAAGATAGGTTGGCTTTTGCGTCGGCATTGCCAAATGCTGACCTGAATTTCGCTGACTGTATATATAAATATATATATAAATATATACATACATATATATATACATACATACATACATACATACATACATACATACATACATACATACATACATACATACATACATACATACATACGTACATACATACATATAAATATGCATATGCAAATAAAATCTATTAAAAAAATTGACAATTTGGTAAAATAATGCATAGTAACTTTTTTATGTATGACTTTTTTCCAATTTAGTAACCATAATTAAATTATTATTAAACAAAAAAAGCAAAAGTATAGGTGCTTTTACCAATTCACTTAATTAAAAATATTTAAACAACAAAGCACATAGTCAGGGGCTATTCTAAACCATTTTCAACAGTATTTGGGCGCCCAAATTAAAATTTTCAATTTTCCACTAAAGTTTGCCGAAACGAGGGGGTACCGCCGCCCAAATTTTTCTCCTAAAATAGACCCTGATCGCATATGTTTTTTTATAATTTTTATTAATTTACTTATGTGTTTTTATTGTAACTTATCACTGGAGCAATAAATGTAATGATTTTGATTATGTGTTTGATTATGATTTTGATTATGTGGAGCATGATTTTGATTAAAGAAAACCATGCTGTTTAATAGTAAATTATAATTTAATAAAAAAACACAGAACTGATTTAATTTTTCATTACAAAGTATTTTTTAATGGTTAGGAAAATTAATAACTGTAGCCTGAAGCTTTTATGTTTTACTTTTCCGACAAATAAATATTTTTATAATTATATACTATTAACTACTTTTTAAGAGACAAATTTTTTTTGCTATTAAAACTAAAAAAATTGCACCATCTCCATACAACATCCAATGAACACGTAAAAAGTATACTAATTGTAATTTTAAATGTGCAACAAGCTGTTTTTATTAATAGAATTTTAACTATTTTTAAACAGTGAATGTAAGAATATTTTAAATGAAATTGTTTATAATAATCAATTCTGTGAAGAGTCTATGAAGTATCTTCTAATATAAGTGCCAAAAATACTGAAATAAATAAAAAAAATTAAATCTACTCATTAAAGACATGCCACACGAAAAAAATAAACCAACTACATTGAATCCTTCACTAAATCAGATCAAGACAATCAAAATTTATTTGCCTTTGCTTCAATACAATTGCAAACAATAGTGTTTTGATCCACATGCATTTGGTTTGCTTGTAAATGACAAGAAAAAGAGATGCTCAAATGAAAAGACAGGCAAGTATTGTCTAAAATGATCTAAAATAAAATTAAGTGATCTAAATAAAATTCCTGGTCAAATTTTTTTTGTCAAAAATGCAAATAATAAATTGAGGACTTACTTAAAGGCTAGACAAAACTGTTGCTAAAAGGTCCAGAATATTTACTAGTAAATTAATTCAGTTACAAATTGATTACCTGTTTCACCAACTGAAAAAAAATATTTATGAAAACCATCGCCATTTAAACATAACAGTGATTCATTGATTTAAAAGGCCTCCAAAAATACTGATAAGATAAGCTGATTGCATCAATTGATTGCAGTGGTCACCATATTCTGCCAAGGAAAAAGGTATTTTAAGTTTAAAGCCAGCTGAGTTGCTCTACCAATTAATCATGATTCAAATTGTATTTATTTACTCCATCATCAAACAATTGCTAAACACATTTTTTATATAACAACCCATCAGAACCAAAGTAATCATACAATCTCTACAGCAAACTTAGGTTTCACTCTTTTAGAAGAAGAGAATGTAAAACCTGCACAATACATAACCATTGTGTACAGTCATGCAATAATGATTGATGTGAGCAGTGTTTTAATTACAGAGCTCATATGAAGTATATATAATGAATTAAAAATAAAAATAGTTGTAATGATTGATCTTTTGAAAGATTTTTTCCTAAGTTGCCTGAGAAAGTTTATTATTTTACATCTCATCTGATTGCCTGCAATTTAACATTAGTGCCACTTAACATAAAGTAGTGCTGCAATAATATGATATGAAGATATTAGAGAAAGAAACTCAGAAAATATAACAAGTTGTTGTCTCTAATTTTTATAATTAAACAAAAACTCCATCATCAATAGGGATGGCAATCCCGAAATCCCGGGATTTTGTACAAATTGTTTATCCCAAAATCCTGGGATTAGTCTCCGAAATTCCCCGGGATTTCGGGATCGTCAAAAAAAAGCAAAAGTTAATAAAGTTTAAGCTTATAATTGTAGTTTAGTAATTTTTATATCGTCTTTGGTATATTAGCTGTTTGGTTGTGTAATTATTTATTCTCTTTGCAATGTTTTCCTTTTAAAACTCTTATTTTCTGTATTTTACTAAAAAAAAAACTCAAAACATTATTGCTTGTCTGCAAAATGTATATATGTTTATATATATGTTAATATATATATGTTAATACATATATATATATATATATATATATATATATATATATATATATATATATATATATATATATATATATATATATATATATATATATGTATATATATATATGTATATATATGTGTATATATATATATATATATATATATTATATATTATATATATATATATATATATATATATATATACATATATATATGTTTATATATATATATATATATATATATATATATATATATATATATATATATATATATATTATATATATATATATATATATATATATATATATATATATTATATATATATATATATATATATATATATATATATATATATATATATATATATATATATATATATATATATATATATATATATATATATATATATAAAATTAATGTATAAATTTTATTAAAAACTCTTGCTCTTTATACAAGTAAGCACTTATATTTTTGTTATTTTTTATAATACACTAGTTTTAATATTATGCTATATATAATATATAGTATAATATTAAAACTTATATAATATAAAAATAAATAAAATTTAAGCTTGCTGGTAGAAAGAGCAAGAGTTTTTAACAGAAGGTATACATTAATTTAATTTTGAATTTTCTGCTTCCAAAAGTATGCGCGATTTTAATTCCATTTTCATATCCATTTATTTTAATTTTCAAATGTGTGATTTATGAAAGTTCTTTTTAACGTCATGCATATTTATATTATTTTTTAATTTTTATTTTTATTTATACTGTGTTACCATTTTAAGGTATTGTTTTATAATTTATAATAATTAGGTTTATTAATTTTTAAAAGTCTTAGATAAGTGTTACTACAAAATTAAGTTAAAACATGATTTAACTTAATTTTAGAGGTTCATTAATGAATTTAATATTTTAGTTATATTATCATTAAATTAATTATTTTTAAGTGTTTGATGAGTGCTTAAAAAGTATTCAAATACGTTTGCGTTTTTTTCTATTCAATCCTGATAGATGTGCCTCCAAAACAGCTATCATTTCAAAAGGAATTGAATCAGTGTTTTTAAAAAAGGCAGATTTGCTCAAAACTTTTTTTTTCTGTTTTATTAAAGAGTAAATCCACTTTTTAAAAAAAACAATATAAAAATTAGGTAATATAAAAAAAGATAAAAAAGTCAATGATTGTCTAAATGACATTTAATTGTCTAAAGTTAGAGCCAATAATTGTCTAAATGAACAATTGTCTCTTAACAATATGTTTTTGAAAAATTAAACATATGCGCATTTTTACCTGAAAATAAATATTCAGAAAAAATTAGTATTACCTTGGTAAAAATCTTTTTAGGTCTTAAAGTACAATCACGCAATCAAATGTTTCAAAATTTATGTGTATAAATATTATGTGAAAATACTTTTAAAGTTTTATAATTTTATAAAGAAATTAGTTGAAAATCTAAAATAAAGATACAATTTAAACATACATATGAAAAATTCTAAATCATTTTGGTGAATGCATCATTTTGCTAAAGTGTGACAAAGCTATCCATCTATTATGCAACTTCAGGGAAGTTAGATAATATAATTTAGTCCTGAATATTTCGGGTTAATTTGTTGCACAAAACAAAAGTTTTTTGAAGCTGCTGACTTTTGAACCATTCATAGTAAAACTTTTCTTCAAAGTTGTTAAATTTTTGTTTTTAAGTTTTAGATTATCCTATAACAACTTTGCATTCAACTTTTATCAATTGTGGGTAGTGTAACCAAGATAAAAGTTTTTAAAAACATTTAATCTACGATCATGAAAATTTTCCTACTTTTAAACATTGTCTACTATATTTTCCTATTTAAAAACATTTTATTTTTCTACTCAAAAAAACATATATTATCTACTATAAGGAAACATCCAAATCAAATATTTCCTATAAAAGACAAATTTAAAAAAATAAAGTACCTATCTCTCAAAACAGCTGTCATCATTGAGTTTCGATAAGGAATATGATTTCTTGATTTATCTGATAGTGCAATTATAACCTATTGAGTAAAATTTTAGTAAAAATTAATGGTACTTATTAAAAAAATATGGTATTTAGTAAAATACCATAAAACAGATATTAAATTAAAAAAAAAAAATCATGTTCAACCACCAAAACAATTCAATAATAAAAATCTTAGATTAAAATCAATGTTACATGATAAACATAAGTATGATTATATAACACTGTTTAAAGATTACTCTTGTTTTCAAGCTTTTAAGGGCTTTTTTTTTAAGGGCTTTTCTTAATTATTTTATGATACCACACTCTAATAAGTAAATTTGAAATTATTAATGGTATAAAAGTCTATATACTAACCTATTTTTAATTAAAGAAAAGGCTTTCCTTTGATTACCAGCATCTAATCAGCTACTTTTCTTTTATAAAATATAGCATACTATATGTCATGCAAAACAAAGTTATAGAATTTCTAGTACTTGAAAACAAAGTTAAATTTATAATGTTGAAAATGCTATAAAAAATTTTATGATTTCTTATTACAGGTTTGGTCGGGAAACGGGTGCAATTGCTATCTATTCCTGACCACAGATAAGATTTACTTAACTTTGTATAATTAAAAAAATTTATTTTAATTTTTATTTTATAAAAAATCAGTTAAAGTAAATCGTTATCGTGCTTTTTAAGAAATTGCTGTTAGTCAGTTATTAGTTTGAACAATCAAGATATTTCTGTAAAATATATGGTCTACAAGATAATCAATTAGATTATTTAAACGTAAAATACGTCTATTAAAGTTTTGAAACTTAATATTTCAGGCATACATGGAAATAATATTTAATTGCAACAACATGTCCATGGTTTTTAAGATGTTTTGAAAACATTCAAATTTATGTATGTTTCCATGTATGCCTGAAATATTAAGTTTCAAAACGCTGAAAAAATTAACTTCTCAAGGTAGTTAAGGCGAATTAGTCAAACTTAAATTGAAATACTTTACAAAAATTTCATCTTTGATTATCTAGAACTTTTTAAACAAAAATTAAATAATCTTTAAAAGTAAACAAAAAAAATTTGCTGCTGGTAGTCTTTTCTTCCATGAGAAATATTCTATGGTCGTAATGTTTTTGTAATAGTTAAAAGATTCCAGCATCATGCAAAGTCCTCACTTAAAAATAGCACTCAAGAACTTGACATTTCACAGGTCTGGAAATTAAAGCTAAGGTTAGGATTCCATAATATACCGTTATTATATTATATTAAATTATACAATATAAAACTTTAATAGACGTATTTTACGTTTAAATAATCTAATTGATTATCTTGTAGACCATATATTTTACAGAAATATCTTGATTGTTCAAACTAATAACTGACTAACAGCAATTTCTTAAAAAGCACGATAACGATTTACTTTAATTGATTTTTTATAAAATAAAAATTAAAATAAATTTTTTTAATTATATAAAGTTAAGTAAATCTTATTAAATATATTATATAGAATTTAGTAAATTGTATAGATTAATTTTTTATTATCTAAATATAAATCTTTTAAAATAAATCTTGCAAATGAACTATTGATTTATAATAAAAACAATGTTTTCAACAAGATTTGTATTTTTAATGAAATTTTATTATTAATCATTAAAGTTAATAAAACTAATAATCAAATAAACATACAGGAACTTACAGGCGACTGAACATAAATATACATGTATACATAATGAATAATGAGTGGATGAACACTGTGCCAGAGGTTCAAACAAAACACAAACATAAATTAATATAAAGTGACTTACGAGTGAACCAGCACCATGCCAGAGGTCAATACAGAACACAAACATAAGTATATCAAAAAACACACTCACTAAACATGATCAGCAATATTGTGAAACAGTTATGCTTCCTCTTCATCAATTTTTTTACCTTTTTAGTTTAACTAGTGATGAAAATTTACAGAAATTTTCCGGGAAATTTTGCTCAAAGTTTCTGGAAATTTTTAAATAAAAAATAATTTGATTTTACTAATTTACTCTCAGAAAATAAACGAAATTACAAAGAATTATACACGTAATCTTTTTTATATTTATATATATATATATATATATATATATATATATATATATATATATATATATATATATATATATATATACACACACACAGTAATGGTTTTATTCAGGGACACACCGGACACGTTCTGGGAGACCACGGTGATCAAGGGACCAGAGCGTCTGTGTGAATTTTTGAAAAATACATTTTTATATAGGAAAAATGTTTTCGGCCTTTATTCTTGATTTCCTGTCGTGTCCTAAGACTTTTCATCTGCAATAGCATCTATATAGTAGTGATGAAAATTCTCGGGTAATTTTGCTCAAATTTCCAGAAATTTTCACACAAAAAAAAAAGAATTTATTACTTTACTCTTCGATAATAATCAAATTTGCAAAGAATTATAATTGTAATCCTTTTTATAATTAGATTATTTTATTATATTTCCTACAAAAATATATAAGAATGGAAAAACATAAGCAAAGTTTTAAGATGATTTCAATTTTTTTTATTTTAAATAACTGAAAAGTAATTTTCTTGAAATTTATTAAATGAGCAATTTATTTAATAATCTTTTTTTAATTATGCTACAGATATTCTACACTCTAAAAACAGTCAGATATTCTATCATAATATAATAAAATAATAGGTCTTTGAAAATGCTTGGTCATTTTTGAGGGTATGTGAAAATCAACAGTCATCACTTAAATATTCACTGTCATATCACTTAAATATTCACTGTCATCATCATTATCATTGAGTGCTAAGAAGATATGGCTTATATTGCTTTTATCGCCAATCTTTTTCTTTTCTAAACATAAATGTTTTTTCTTTTTAGAATTACATTTACCCAGTCTATTTTGTATTTTTAAATTATAAGCAATAAATAATAGCTTTGGTGCTTATGTATCAATTAAACAATTTTGCTTTTTAGATTTTTGCAAAGAAACCTCTTTGTTTGCACGCTCAGCAGATGCCATGCTGCAGCTACAAGACAATAATATCAACGCCACTCTGCTCAATAATGTTAAAGGTGCATATGCTTTCCACCATATAACTAGGTTGCACTCCACACTAAGCTTCCAAATATAGCTGCAACTATCCTGGCTAAATATTCCACTACGAGCTTTAAAATTCATTAATTCATCCAATATAACATCAGCAGCTAGTGTTTCATTTTCAGCTATTCTGAATATATGCTGCTCAGCTAAAAGCATTTCTGAATGATTAAACTCTTTACCAGCAAACCTGGGATCAAGCAAATTAGCTCCAAAGTGTATTGGTCTAATGACAAAATCTTAATGCTTTTTAACGCAAGTAGTAATATTCTCTTTTTCTTGAAAAGTTAGTAGTGTTGAGTTTTGCAACACATCAGATATCTGAACTGTGATTCCAAAATAGCCTTTGGTACAGGTTTTAGTTGTTTGTAAGCTAAATCTGTTCTTTTCCAGAATAATTCATTTAACACTAATTTCTTAAGGTTAATTCCTCTTTTTTTATTGTGTTTTTCAATATGTTCTTGGGCTTTCTCATCAGTTACTGCCAATCACAATGAGTCACAAAGACGCAAATTGTGCTGTAAACTTGAAAACTGAGATGATCATCTTGTTAACAGGAAGAATTAAAGTCAAATTTTTTTTCAGAAAATGTAGACTACAGTGCGCAAGGATACTCTTTAAAACATGTTTGTTTTTGAAAAACTCAACTATTTGTTTACTTTGCTTTAATGTTTCAAAAATTATGTTGTTCTTCTTTACTAGGTCACAAGCAAATAAATTTAGATCGTGAGAAAAACAGCCATATCTTAACATCCAATCATATTTATTTTCAATCAATTTCCAAACAGCCACCATGGCCGATGGATTGTCAGATGGTTGAAATAATTTAAATTATTTAAATGCAGTATGCTATAAATATCTGTTTTATATTAAATTTATTTTATTCTAGTTGTACGGTTTAGTGATGGTACTCGTTTTGTTTTTAGTTTATATTTATTTTAATTTTACACGGTGTATTGAAATTATTCGTCTTAGCTTTTGTTTATATCTAAATTACATTTATATGGTGTGGTACAGCTGAAAAAAGTTTCTAAAAGAAAAAAGTTTAGAAATTATTAACTCTAGACATAATTTATTTTGCTTTAGTTTTTTTTTCATTAAGAACTCATTTCTTTTTTAGTTAATTTTTTAGCATTTGTCTCCAATCAGTTAAGTTTTTTTTGCACATTTTTGAAATGTTCTCAAAACATCTAAAAAGCATGGTCAGATAAAGAGAGCAGACACACTTGCTTCCCAATTGAGCCTGCTATTAGTATTTATATTAAAACATACAACTAAATACTTGATTAATGAAGCGAAAGTGTTTCTTAAGGATTTAATTAAAAATTGGTTTTAATTCAATAATCTTATTTTTATGTCAAGTAGTTTATATGCATGCTGCAAAAAGTTGCTAAACAATACATCTAAACAATGGTTACCAGAAATTTCTTTTAAACATATATTAAGTTAAATGATTTTTTCTTAACTAGTTAAATTTTATTTTTCTTAACTAGTTAAATTTTATACTAGTTAAATCTTAGTTTTCTTAACTAGTTAAATTTTATAGTTAAAAATTATTTTAAAAGAATTTAAACACATGAATTCTAAATAAAAATAAGCAAAACATATATGCATATTTTTTTATAATGGATACAATGAAATACATCAATATCATTCTAAATAAAAGTTTTTATTTGTAAAACACAAATATATTTTTTACAAGTGTTGAAATATTGATTTATTCTATCAACTTTAAGAAAAATGTATACAAATAAGAAATTTGTGTTATGCTATGAAATGCATCTTAAACACTGTAAAGCAGTAGTCAATTTTTTTTTTTAATTCAATATTTTTACAGTTTTTAGAAGAAATTGATTTAAAACAAAAAAATAATTCTAATTTCAATTTTACATTTTCTAAACAAAAAAAGTTTTTTAAACTAAAACTTCTACAAAAAAAAAAAAAACCATAACAATAAAGAAGCACCTGTTCTAAATAATGAAGTGAGAGATTGATATATTTAGCTTCTTTTAACAAAGTACCACAAACACCTGTTTTACTCACGCGCTCAGATCTGAATTAAAAATATTTTGTTATTTTATTAAATCATATCATTTTATTTTTATTATTCCTCTATTTTGTTTCATTTTTATATTATTATTAAATTATTATCAAATTTATAAATGATATATATTCAAATGTTATTTTTAATAACATTTTTTTGTAAAATGTTCCATTAGATGTTAGAATATTTCTAGATAAAACAAATCAGAGAATTCAGTATAGGAAATTAGATAAATTAAACATATTGAGCTTTGTAATATAATAACTAATATGCAAATGTTAAAAAATATATGTAAATGCTTCAAGTTTATAATAACCTTAATGATTATTTTTGGATTACATTTTTAAATAATATAGAGGTAATTACTATTTTACATAATATAGAGGTAAATACTAGTTTACATAATCTAGAGGTAAATACTATTTTATATAATATAGAGGTAAATACTATTTTATATAATATAGAGGTAAATACTATTTTATATAATATAGAGGTAATTACTATTTAGTAAATAATGTTAATGAAATAAGTTAAAAGTTTATAAAAGGTGTAAGTTTATATTTAAGTGTAACACACCAATTTAAAGATAAAACGGGGTGAGTGTTTTTATACCTAAGTAAATAAGGTAGAGTTTTCTGCCTTTGGGTTCGAATAAACATTCTTAATGTAAATCAAAAATCAGACAGCAATTCCTCATCAAAATTAAGTTATCTAGAAAATTTTATTTCAGCATTTTCTACCCTTCCTTTTTTAGAAGAATTATCTAACTAGGCATCTTTTACCTTTGCACCAAGAGAACATAAGGAAAAATGATAAAATTTTTATGTGGTGAGCAAAGTAGAATGCTATATATTATATGTGTGTATACATATATATATATATATATATATATATATATATATATATATATATATATATATATATATATATATATATATACAGTAGCGTCCAAAAATTTGTGAACAGTGTAAATAAAATTGAGTTTTAATAATATTTCAGCGCTTACTTCACTAAATCCAACATAGTATATACTAATTAATAAATTTTCATGTTTACTTTAATGTTTTGAAAGAATATTGATTATTTGATTAACGTAGTTTCATTGATTTAAAAATTAATAACTAAATTCATACACTTTAATAAAACTTATTTTAAAATAAAATTTTACATTGTTTAAATATATTATTGTTTTATGATTGCTTTATGTTTGATTTTAAATTTGACTCTTTATTTTACGGTGACATTCTTTTAATATAACCAACCTCCACTCGTTTCTTACTATTTGGGTTTCAATACAGGGATACTATAAAGGTTTATATTCCTTTATTTATTCAACACAAAATATGAAAACTATAATTTTAGGATAGGCGGAATGGTGAATAGGAAACATTATCTGATTATATATAAGTATACATATATATATATATATATATATATATATATATACATATACACATATATGTATATATATATGTATATATATATACTATAATTTTTTAATGAAAACTATAATTTTAGGATAGGCGGAATGGTGAATAGGAAACATTATCTGATTATATATAAGTATACATATATATATATATATATATATATATATATATATATATATATATATATATATATATATATATATATATACACATATATGTATATATATATGTATATATATATATACACATATATATATGTATACATACATACATATAGACACACCTAATGCTTCATCAATATATAAAGCAACTATGCAAGAAGCAAAAAACTTAAAAATATCATATAAAAAAAATTTTACAAATGAAAACTGGTGCCTCAATATTTTAACTATAATGAATTTGGTTTACAATTAATTAATACAATTAAATTAGAAAAATCTTGTTGAAGCATTTGATAACAGTGGTCCTTCTTTAAACTGTAAAATTTTAGGATGGAGAGATGATATCAAATTGGTTTACAATCTATGCAAAGCATATCTTTTTTATAAAGAAAATTGATATTTTCCTAAAATGGATATTTTCCTAAAATTATTTTTTTTAATACATTACTAATACAATACTAATACTACCAATACTATACTATTAATACAATACTAATATATACTAATACAGTACTAATACATAATACATCTCTTCAGTGTGCAAGATGGAATTCAAGAGCAATTTATGCATTTTTGAGTTATTTTCTTGACAGTTCATCTAGAGAACAACTTGAAGTAGTTTGTAATTTTGTAAGTGCTAACTGGCACAAAATATGGTTTGGGAAACATAATTTGTATGAAAATGATTTTAGTTATCTAGAAGAAGATAACTATGTTTAATAACTAAACTTCAAAATTTAATTCACATAATAAAGTTCATCAAGACTTTTTTAAAGTTTAACACTGACTTATTAAGTTCGACATCAAATGGCAATTGTTCCAAATTGGAATAACACAATTGGAAAAAAAATTCCTTCTACTCAAGTGTCTACAGATCTCAGAAGTATATCTATGATTGTGGATATAGTCAAAAACACTTCCAGCTGGTCCAGTTGCTCGACAAAAGTTCCTTAGGGAAGATATTGTATTTAGCTGATAAGAAATATTAAGACATTTAAAAAAGTTAATTAAATCGCTTCTTTCTCTTCTTATAGATAAGGTTGTTAAATTAAGTCTATTTAATCGTTCCTCATAAAGAAGCTCTATATATATAAAATTTAGATTGAAAATCTTTAATTTTTATTTAACTTAGTTACTACCTAAATAAATAAATAAATTTGAATTTGAAGACAAAAGGTTGTTTTTATATATATAATATTTTTAAATTATACAAAGTTATGAATTTAATTGTTAATATAAATGTAATTTTTCTTACAGCACAAAAAAAACTCCACTTTATCAACCCTGTTGTAATTTCTAATGGCACAGAAATAAACTTTGACAAGTTCCTATAGCACTGTCTAAATAAAGTATTGTTTTAGGATCAGAACAACTCGTGGACTCATGAAATCCCTATCACTCCAATTTCTGAGCAACAATGGAGTTCTAATTCAATAGGTTACTAATTCTATGAATTTGCTATGAATTTTAAACAATGGTTTGTATAACTATGGTTCTAAATTTTTTTTTTGCTTTTGTTTTTTAAACAAAGCATTAGATATTTAGTAAATCCATTGTTTTAGATTTTTTTACTAATTCTGTATTTGCGCATTAACTGTGTGCAGCATTGTCGTCCAGCAGTTTAATGCCATGGCTTGATTTTAAATCAACTTCTTATACCAATCAGCAACAGCTGCGACTAGTCAAACTGCTCGGTCAAATGAGAACACCATGCATGTATTTCTGTTGGTGGTAAGATGCTTGTTCTTCCCTGAAACCATTTCTGTAGCTTAACAAAAAGCAAAAAACAAAGCTTCATTAGAGCTATTTGCAGAGCATTCTCTGGTCAGAATATTATTTGAAGATCTTATAGAATACGCTCTGTAAGTTTTATAAATATATTTTTATTTTTTATGTAGGTAAATTGTGTTTTCGCCATTATCGTCATCTTTGTTTTAACATCATTGTATGTTGTTGGCCTCGACACCTTTTACAGCTTTAAATTAGTTTTTTAAATGACACATGTCACAGTTTTAACAGAACTAGATTCCTTCTGTATAGATACCACCAAAAGTTGGTAACTTATTCTATTCTACCAAACAATTAATTTTTTGGCACATTTGGAAAAAAAAAGTAATTTATTATATTCTTTCAAACAATTAATTTTATTTCATAGTTTTCCTTTTTCTATATTAGTTGCCTGCTCTAAACTTTATATTCAATGAAACTGTGAACTAATTTATATAAATTTAGTTTATTTATAATTATTTGTTAGTTTATATTTACTGAAGCATATAAGAGTTTTGAATTAATTATTTAAAATTAACTATGTGACAGTGTCATAGTTATGAAAGGCAAATCATCTAAGTTGTATGTGAGTATTTAATTAAATTATATCTTATTAAATCTGATTTCTGAATAAATGTTCTTTGAATGTTTTTATTGATATTTTTCTAATAAAATTACAGCCTTATTGCAGAAATTTGATAGTATAAAATGCTTGCTACAAAAATATTTATCAAGCTTTACTAAATATGTTTACATGTTTAGTGTGAAGCTGAATGATATCTATGTTCTATGAAAACTTTCTATTTATTTATAAATTAATATGAATGTGTATGTGTATATAAATATTTTTTTTATTTTAGGCATAATAAATGATACACAGTCATCTGACTAATGCTAATAAATCTCTAAAGATAACTAGATGAGGTATGGTAATTTATTAAATTTTAAACCAGAATTATTTCAATGCAAATTTGACTGAAAATTATATTGCTATAAATAACTTAGAAAATCAAAAATGTACGTTCAAAGTAATATAAAAAAATGTGTTTTATTTTTTTTTATTTTTCATGTTCTGATTTATAAAGTTGTAGGTCACAAATGTGTGTTTGAAAAATCCTTAAAGTGTAGAGCAGAATGTAGCAGTAATGGTGAAGATGCACATTAAACTTTATCCTGACACAACTATTATGTGATAGAATGAGCCAGACCTACACATCAAGAAGAATCTTTATTAAAACCAGTACTACACAAGTCATATTAGAAAGGTTTTTTGTTTAGTAATGAAAATTGAGATTATTTCTGTGTTTTTTTAATTTTTAATACACACACTAATACATACATATAAATACATTCATACTCAAACTTACATTTACCTAAAATGTTACAATTTGATCTAATATATTTGATGCCCAACACAGATGTTCAAAATGTATCATGTCAAAATGTGTGTGTGTGCATATATATATATATATATATATATATATATATATATATATATATATATATATATATATATATATATATATATATATATATATATATATATATATATATATATATATATATATATATATATATTATATATATATATGTATATATATATATATATATATATATATATATGTATATATATATATATATATATATATATATATATATATTTATATATGTATATATATATATATATATATATATATATATATATATATATATATATATATATATATATATATATATATATATATATGCAACATTACATGCACATTGATGATGTCATTCTAAAATAGGTTGTTGAAAGGGCTTATTAAGCCCTTTCAGCTACCTATTTTAGAACGACATCATCAACACATATTGATGATGTCATTCTAAAATATCTACCTATTTTAGAATGACATCATCAGTACATATTGACTATTTTATAGCCTGCTGCTGGTAAGAGGGCTGCTACATCAACTGAGGGTTTGGCCTAGGGCAAACCATTATTCTTTGTTTTTTTCTTCTTTTTCTGAAAAATTAAGGCACACAATTTTAGAATAAGAGAGCAAAAATTATATTAGGAAATTGCATCCTGGTATAAATTGTTTGTGATATAGATATATATAAATATATATATATATATATATATATATATATATATATATATATATATATATATATATATATATATATATATATATATATATATATAAGGTAGTTTTTTTATTCCAATAAATTATACTCTTCAAAAATCTTAATATGTTAAATAATATTAAACAAACCCTGCTAAATCTACAAGATGAAGTTTTGACTTGCGAATAGTGGGTGAATTTTGCTCTTTTATTGTGAGATGTATTGAAAAAATACAATGTGAACGAGTAGAAGCTTGATTCATAGGTGTCTAAATAAAACTAAATTTTTAACTTGTACTTTAAAATAATTGTTTTTTATTCAATAGTATACTTTGTAATAGTAACTTTAAAAAGTATACAAAGTATACTTAGTATACTTTGCATTATTTATACAAAAAAATATTTAGTATACCTCAGCAATCATTCTGTTTGTGTCACCAAGAAACAAAAGATTCAATGCTATTTAAAAAAAAAACAACCTGTTATTTATCAATCAGTTACATCGATGGTTTTTACAGCAATGGTTGTTATTGTTGTGACTTTTTTCCTCAGATATTTATGCAACCCAAACAAAATTCTCTCCCAAGATTCAAACTCATGTAATTTACAAATTTAAGTTTTCAGCTAATGGTTTTGACTTTTGATCTTCTTTGTTATTTTTAGAAAATCTTACTATTTTAAACTTGCTGCAGAAAACTGTCTAAAAACAAACTGGCATAGTTGTTTCAAAAAGCGTAAACTAGCATAAGTGAGCCTAACAAATACAAAACACAAACCTGAGTAAATGCAAATGCAAAACATGCCCAGGCATGAATCTAAATTAGTGAAATCCAGTGTAAGCATGCCTAAGTGATTTGTAAAGGTTTACACTAATGCCAATATTTGTAAATTTGTTGAATGCACTAAATTATTTTTGCAAGTTCACATTTAAACAAGGTTTCTCCAATTATTTGTTTATGCTTACATAGATTTATGTTTTTAAAATATTCCGCTTCACACCTGGTTTGCTTATAAAAAATTTAAGCTGCTTGAAAAGTATAAAAGCAAGTATGATAAAATAGATTTCATTTTTTTTTTAATATTCATTATTTGTTTGATTACCATACCCATAAAATGTTTGAATAATTGTTATCTTGTTCAATATTATTCTGAAACTAATTTTTTTAATGCCATATCAGCCCGCTATAATTATTGTTATACCAGCCCTGATATTTTTGATACTATTCCATTAGTTTAATGCTCTGATTTCATTTATTTTAATTGAAATAACTCAAAACAAGTGCTTTTACTACTTCCTAATTGTTTGCTCTTTTAAATTGTTAACAAACAAAAAATAAATTCTTTATCATAAATTGCTACTATTAAAAATATACCTTCTTCTTCATTAAACGCCTGATTGACTGATAAGTTCTTTAAATGAATATTTCCATCATTGTCTTCTAATAATGAGACTTTCCTAGATTTAAAATTAAAGAAAGTAAAATATTAAATATTAAAATTTTTAAAAAAAAAGTACAGAGGTGCGCAGGTTATAGCAAAAAAAAATAACAATTTGAATTTCGCACTTAAAATGTCTGTCAATTTAGGAAAACCAAATTTGGCGGGAAAATCAATGATGGCTTAACTGGTTAATAATAAAAAAACATTGGCGGTTTTTATAAATTAGTAAAAAAAAAAAAAGACTAAAAACAGCTTATTTTAAGCGTCTTGAGGGCAAGACTACTATAAATATATTTAATAATTTTTTTTTCTAGAACATAAATACCTGAATTTTTGATTAAAAAGGTACGATGATTTTTTTTTCCTTCCCTATAAATAGTATAACTTACATTCTAAATCAGTTGAAATTTAGTTATTAAGTGGTGTGGCATTACTTTTAAAACCTTTACAAAAGTTAAATTAAAACATTTTTATTAAAACTTCATAGTAATGTTTAAAAATGCATGTATTTTAAATCAGATTAAAATTATTTGTTTCACGTATGTTTAAAAACTATTGAATAAAAAAATATCTGTTTTGTTAGCACCACGATTTTACAATTTTTATTGTAAAATTGTAAGACCATATGAATATACTATATGTTTAAAATATAACATGTTATTTATATTATTTACAATATAAAAATATACGATATAAAGTACTTTAACATACAGCGTAGAAAGTAAGAAATCAAAGGCAAGCTCAATTTGACCAGTTATCGCATGAAATCGACAGTCAATTTTTTTTATTTTTTGTTTGTTTAAATTTGAGTAATAGTTCTTCATAATTGAAACTAAACACACAAAAAGTATGAGTTCGTTAATTTTTAATGCTAAAAAATTAATGAATTCATACTCTTTTTAAATAACAATTTTAAATAAAATCAATGTATTTTTTAAGTTTAAACTCACAAATGCCTAACATTCAAATTACCTGCTAATGTTAATTTGTCTAAAATTAAGCTCGGATGCACAGATTTTCATTCAAATAAAAAAAAAGTTTGATAATATCCAATTAATCTAATGTTGAATTTGAATTTTTTTTAAATATCCAAACAAAATTTATACAATACTACAAAAATTTAAACTGAATACTTAATACTAAAAGAAATCGCTTTATAAATGTCATTGAAAACAATGCTTGTGTCTTTTTATTCGCCTTCATTAAGACGGGTTGACATTTGATGTTTGTATTACAATTCTATTACATTACAATTTAATAATAGAAAAAAAAAACTAGTAAATGTGCAATTGATAATTTATTTAAAATTATTCATTTATTGCTATGGTTCTCATCGGCAGGAAAGAGCTATGAAAGAAATAAATGAAAAGATTAAATGAAAAAAAAAAAAGTACAGCTGGTCGAGAAAATGCTCTTAGCTACATTCAAAAACCTCTGATTTTAATGAGCAAAGATATAAAATATTTTTTAATCTCTGCTCATTTGAAAAAATTTTGTTATTTATAACTTTATTAACAATTGTGCGCAATTTTTTTTTTTAAATTTATCATACTATTTAAACTTGACACTTTACTAAGAATATATTAAACTATTTAAACTTGATACTTAATATGAAGAAGTCAATTGTTTTATGAAACACAACTACAAAAATTACTAATGTTACATAAAACGAGATTTTACTAAACATATATATTTTTAAGAATCCTATTATAGCAAATTCTAAATTTACCTATAAATCATTCATTCATTTATTAAATTTACAGCAAAAATTTACAAGAAAATAAATAAAAAGATTGAAAAAAAAAAGTGTGACTAAGTACATTTAAAAAAAAAAATGTTCTCAGTTAAATACAGTAACAATTATATATTTTTGTATTATTATAAAAATTAGGGGAGAGGGCGTATGAAAGAGTCAGGCTTTGAAAGAGCTGACGCCATTATTTCTAACTTGCTGGCATCAGACCATAATTGTATTTTACTCTTTGTGTGGCAACACTGGATACCTGTCACCCACAAAAAATTTACAGCTTTACTAAAATAATTAACGTTCTACTAAAATCCTCTCCAACTTCGAAACACAAACCTTGATAAACAAGGCCACTACGCGAAGAAATAAGTTGAGCACAGTACTACCAGGGACGTGGTGTGAATTGAACTCGGAACCTCTTGCTTATGAAGCACTACACCACTACCTCAGTAAATATTTTTAACATTTAATGAAGTAATAAATAACAATGGTATTTTTGATATTATTTTAATTAAAATTCAATTTTTATGCTTGAAGGCAGCAGAGAATAACAGAAAGAAAAAAAGAATCTTAGAGATATAGATTGCAGTTGATCTGGCTGAACATTTTCAAAATGAAAACAAGGTGAAGTTAGATATTTATAAAGAGGAAGAAGAAAAAAAAATGCCAAAAATGAGAAAGACCTACTAAATTTAGCATTTTTAGTAGATGTTTCTTCCTTACGTTAGGCTTTTGCTGTTAAACAGAAAAAAGGATAAAAGACTGGCTTTTACTGCCACCACAGTAATGGCAGGGGCACCAAGTGGGGTTGGGGCAGATGTCCAAGGGCTACTAAATAGAAAGTAGGAACCTAAAAAAAAAAAGATCATTCATTAATAATATGAAAAAATTTAGAAAAATAGAGACGCCAATCAAGGTTGTTGTTGCTCCAGGTGGCATAAAGGCTCTTGACGCCCCTGATTACTAGTATACTCAATCTTTGTTTGAAGTTTTTGAAAAACATGTGAATAAAATTTGGAGAGAGGCTTGTCAATATGATACAACATTAGTTGATAATTATAACTTCGGAGATGGAAAATAGAACAGACTGCTTTCTGTAGACAAAGTTTGTTCTGCCTTCAGAAGCTTCGCAAGAGCTCCACCAATCTAAGCAAAAAAAAAATGTCAGATAGTCTTTCTTCCTGAACAACAAAACACTAAAAATTGTTCAGTTCCTGAAAAACAAAACAAAACACACACAATCACATAATATATTACGAATAATATATTATAAATTCAACTTCCTTTTATAATATATTACGAATAATATATTATAAAAGAAAGTTGAAACTTCTTGAAAATCTTGTTAAATATTTAAAATAAATTACTTTTGATAAGTAAAATTGTAGCTATAACATAAGAGCAGGTTAATTTATTCTAAAATATTATTTATATTATCAATACATAAAATGAGAAACTTTAATCTGATTCTAAATATAAACATTTGTAAACCTTACTAATAACTAAATAACTAAATTTCAGTGAATTTAAAATTTAAATTTTACTATATTTAGGGAAAAAAAAATACCATTTTAATCAAAAGTTCATATATTTTTTATGCCCTGAAAAAACTATTAAAAATATTTGTTTTGAGAGCAAAAATAGTTTTGCTCTGAAGACGCTTAAAATAAGTTTTTAGTCATTTTGAGGTCAAGGAAAGAACGATTCAATTGTGCTCAAATATTTTTGAAATTAGTTTAAACATATTTGCTTTAAATCTAGATGGTTTGGTTTTGTGAATTCCAAAATTTTTTTTGGAATTCACAAAACCACATATACACACATACATACATACATACATACATACATACATACATACATACATACATACATACATACATACATTTTTATTTTATTTTATTATTATATATTTATATATATTATTTTAAAACATTTATATAGAACTTTATAATTATTGTTATTTTAAACAGGCATCTTGATAAACAAAACTACTTAAACCAAATTGTTAAAAATTTTTAATTTTTTTTTTTTTTAATCAATTTCAGAAGTATCAAAACCTCTCAATTTTAGAAGTTAAACAAGAAAACTTTGTATTATTGTCAAAATATCTATTATAAACATAGTCAT